TGGTTAGGATTTCCATTATTTTATTATACTTATACTTTTATTATGCTATATTTGTTTTACTGAACAGTATAAAGTGGTGAAGATGAATTTTCTAATTAGTTTCAGTCACCCATCGTCTCCATCCCACCACTGCAGAGAGACAGTCCACAAATCATAGATTTCAACTTTCCAAATAAAAGAGTACAATGTCTTTCCCTTTCCCTTTTATTGCACTTTGTAACATCTGTGTAGTCTTTGACTGTGTGGTGCTGATCCTTGCTGAGGACAGTTCCAGATATTAATTGTCCAATAAACATGATAACTAGTGTTGTGGTAAATCATGCGGTCCTTTGCTGTACTATTATCTTCTTGGCTGTACTCAAGACTGAAAAGCAGGTTTTGAGAATCATTTCTGGAATAGAGAATTTGGAGTCATCGTTGAGCAAGTATACAGCTAGATCCACTGGAAAGTGTGTGTCTATGATGAGGTGGTATTTCATCCAGAATATGCACACTTCTGGGGATTCCCACACAAAATGTAAAAGTGAGCCTCATGTTTCATGGGGGCAGAATTACAACATGGATCTGGAGTCAGTCTCTTTTGATGTCAAATCCTGAAAGTCACAAAACTGACAACATTTTATGTATATGAATGAGTTGGTGATCTGGGTATTAGTCCACAATGAGTTCCAGTCCAAAACTTTTTCCATTTTTTTCAAAGAAAACAAATATCAATATTGCATTGTGCAATCAATTCTTAGAAGTCTAATATTGTATTAGTCCCAGGACTTCTTCCAGGACTCTAACACCTATGCTCTCCCACAACTGATTAAGAAAAGCCCTTACTCCTGACAAAGGTTGCTACTGTTCCAAATTGGAGAAACCAACCTTCTCGTTTTGCCATTTGCCATATCATAAAGATGCTGATGAAGAACTTCACACAGCCTGTTTGTTTTTTTGTTTGTTTTTTTAACACCAGAAACTGTTCTTCTTCTGTAACAAAAACTTCAGAGTAGAGTGACAGTACAGTATTTACATTAGTACCCATAGTTTGCATCGTGGTACAAAATTTTGGGCAACACATTTTGCTATACGCATGTGCCAAACCCTTCATGCATAGCTGGACGTGTTCATGGCTGTGTAGCTTGCATAGAGTCTGACAGAGCCCTCAGAGTCAGATATTTTTCCATAGTCTTAAAAATAAGGACAGTATGAACTTCATTCACTTCCTAAAACAACCATTTACACTAAACATAATCCAGCCAACAGATACACTGCCACCACATTGTAATCGGGAAAACAGTGTAGTCATCTATGAATGTAATTTCTAAGAGACAGTGTTAACTTTGGATAGAAGCTGTTTGTCGTTTCCATGTTAAGCTGAGCTAACCACATCCTGACTGTAGTTTTAAGTTATATTTAGTCTTCAGTGATCTCTGCTCATGCACGTTCTATTCACATTGCACTGGATCTTTTCAGAGAAAGCCTGCTTGTATGTATTTTGAATGGGTTGTTCATGTTTCACCTGTGACTGGTCCTCAGGGTTTGTTCGTCCACTGACAAAGGCAGCACTCACTGATACTTTATCCCCACTTTTTATGCACATATACACATCATCATTGCCCTGCACACAAAAATGCAAACAAAAAATGCATGAGGCATATACTGTTCAGGTTAATAGAATAGAGATGCGGCATGTTGGTAAATTAATCAGAACAGGAAGTTGTTCATCTCAGAAATCATTCAGAAAACTAAGCTTAAATCTGCCATTTTTCAGACTACACTGAACATCAACCTTTTTGTAAAGTATTACACAGTGGGTTGTTTTATACTGAGGGACTAACTTACCATCCAAGTGTCATAGGACAGAGCAAAGGCAACATATCCTTCTGCTGGGCCACTCAGCTCAAACATCACAGACTGCAGAGAAGAGTGATGAAGATGCAGTAAGTGACAACCTGAGTCTGAGGATTTGTCAGTAAGATTCAATATATTCTTCATATCATTTCAGGTCTAGTCTAGATTAAGCTATGAATAATGCCATGACTTAAACAAGACAAGAATAGAAACATACATTTTTCTGGGTCATATACTCTTTGATCTGACTGTCATATCAATATTATATTATTTATAATATTTTGAATTTGCCTACTTACATTCATATGATCTAAGTGTGTGTGTGTGTGTGTGTGAGACAGTTGCTACACAACTTTCTGTAATTCTCCAGAATTACAGAAAGGTTTTTAAGAAAAACCAGAAAGAACCATACAATGTAGTGTGAAAGCTCATCCTTAACCCTGGTTGTTTGAACAAAAACCCTTAAAAATTCACAGTCAGAACAGAATCTAACTATGTTTCTTCTTCTATTGTGACTAAGGCAGTCTAGTAGGTTATCTTAGCAAATCCTGTTAACACTTAATGTCTCAGTTTTACTGATATTACAATGACATGTAGCACCTTTAATTGTCTTAAGCAGGCTACTAGTAATTTCAGCAGATAAAAGTCAAACCATTGCATCTGGTCCCTCTGTAGTCATGGACAGGAAGAAGCAGTGAGGATCTTCCTTTGGATCACAGCCTGGAGGCTCTAGCAGGCAGGACTTTGACTGGCCACAGCCATCAGAACTGAACTAAAGGTGTTTGGCAAGGCAAGTTTATTTATAAGCACATTTTCACACACAAAGGCAATTCAAAGTGCTTAACATGACACATTGATAAATCACTAAAAAGAATACAAACTTCACAGAGATTTATAAAACTTTAAAATGTATACATATATGGATAAAACTGAATGCAAATTAGAAGCAACAATTATATGACAACACAAAGCAGCAACATGCAAGTGTAGGGACCTAGTACTGTTAGGATAGTGGTGGCAAACTGGATTCTCACTGTTCTCAATATACTTTGTACCCATTTTCCTTAACCTTCCAAAGACTAACCACTTAGTAGTTTAACATCAGAGATGGATGTACTTTCTTCTGGACATGTGATGTATTAGTGTCTATACAGTCAGCTAAACAGCAC